ATAAAAAAATATATCCATATTGGATCTAGTTTTGCTCAGAATATTTTTTTGAGTCGGATGCAACAAACGGTTTGTCAATCGGGGTTACGGTTTAGGAGAAAAATTGTTTCAAAGATTCAAACCAATAAAAAATTTCATGCATGCATGTATGCAGTCTAGTGTGATTTGTATGCTAGATGGCTTTACGTGGTAGGTGAAAAATACAACTTAACTTAGGGAAGCATGCACTGCATGTTCGCTTGGGCGCGCTGGTTGCTCCAAGTTGGTGCGTCCGTCGGTCTGGGTGCATTCTATATACAGGATGTACCCAGGTGTATTATAGTGAAACAATATATATATATATACCATGTTCAAAATGAAATGAAATCACGATTTCCACATCCTTTTGCTATCTGTGATTATGAAGAGCAATGAGCGAGGCGCCAGATGATAACGACTAGTACAGGAAGGAAGGAAGGGAAACTACGCCTGACTCATAAAACAAGTTCATTCTTCATTCTTTCATTAATACTAATACTCTTAGGACCAACCAACAACTACGATATATGAGAACTATTATTTGATTTGATTTGATTTGATTTGATTTCATTTATAGCACCCACTTGATACTTTCTCGACGGAAGAAGTAACGCAGGGACTTGTGCACGACCATCCTGAACCCTTCTTCTTCTTCCGAGGAAGAAGAGGAAGAGGGATTGGAACTGCAACAATCGCCTGCGCCACGAACCATCTCCACACCAGTGAGCAGAGCTGCCGTCTTGCCTATACTATTCTGGTACTCAGGGTCGATCACCACCTCATAGATGATCATGGCAATGCAAAACCTGCCGTCGCCAAGGTCGAGGAGTCCGGCCGAGGACGTTTCCCACCCACGGGCATCTCGAGGCCTTCCTTCCAGTGCTGCGTCACTGTCACGGACGGTCTGTATGGACCCCTGGCGGCGGCGGCGACGGCGGCACCGAGGTCCGACGACGCACACAGGTAGTAGTACCTGTCGCTGTCGTCCCCGGGCCAGTAGACGTCGCTGTCGTCCCCGGACCTGTAGACGCCCAGCCAGGGCTTGAGGTCAGGGACGTACTGGGGCGCACCGAAGAAGGGCATTTGCCAGTCGCTGGTGGCCTGCCGCATCCACTCGCGCCTCACCGTGTCGAACAGGTAGTGCCGCCGCTTCGGCGGGCGGCCGACACGCAGATGATGCGGCCGCCGTCTAGGACCGCGTGGGTGCAGATTTCGGAGCCCTCGGACAGGGGCGGCGGTGGAAGACGGTCCCATTCCCACGATAGATCGGCATCGGTGAATGTTCTTGGGTTGAAAGGTTTTGGTTTGGAGTGATCGAATCTGAGCACCTGGAAGCCGAGGTAGCCAATGTCGGAGCACATAACGAAGAGGTCCTCTTGTTCTCCAGGAACACCGTCGGCGTCGGCGTCGGGGACGGGGACGGAGATGACGAGGGGCTCTTTACCAAGGTAGCGGAGGCCGCTGGGCATCGACCAGGTGGTGTGCGAGTCAACGTCGTGGACGATGGTGTGCCCCTCCTGGCTTCTCCAGAAGATCCTGCCCTCGCTGCGCCGGGGGTTCGCTAGAGCGAATATATGTTGTACCTACAGGCCACCGCCGGACGGAAGTTGTGGGTCGGCGCGGGAAGCGACGCTAGAGTAGAGACCACCGCTGGTCTTCTGGCCGCCGCTTCTGCTTCCGCCGTCGACGGGGTAGAAGAGATGCTCCGAGACGTCCAGGCGGTGCAGCGAGCACACTCTGCTCGTGCAGTTCTCCACCACCAGGTTAACGAACCGCCGCCGCAGGTTCATCATCTCGCCGGTCCTCTCTCTCTGTCTCTCCCCGCGGCGAGAGAGGGATGTGATCAGGAGCGGCGGCGGGATCAAGCATATGCTGATATACCAGGTCAAGTCAGGTCAGTCTCCTTTATTGAGCCATGAACTCCTCCAACAAGGCCTGCAGGGCAGGGTCTCTCAGAAAGGGCCATGCACGTTGAAGCCCAGAGGATCTCTCCATGGAACGCCACGACGGACATCTACAAACTGCCGCTGTTGTGCACTCGTTGAAATCATCAAGCTGCCGTGTTTCACGGTTGTTGCATGCTTAAGCTTGCCATCAGGCGTCATGTTGCCCGCTATTGATACAATCAGCCGTGTTTCATGCGGCCGATCTACTTTTGAAACATCCAAACACAACGGTTGCAACATACGTCTGAAGAAAGTTGAAACACTTGAAACATGCTTCTGAAACACTGAAAAACACACACAAACCATTGTAACCATACGCAACATCCGAATAAAACACATGCAACATATGTGTGAAACATATGAAACATCCAGATAAACACAACTGCAACATGCGTCCGGAAAATACAGATGGAACATACCTCTAAAATATCTGTAACACTCGAAACATACTCTTGCAACATGTCCCTAAAACAATTGGAGCATATGCAACATCCCCCGACCTACTTTTGCAGCATCCCCCGACCTACTTTTACAACATCCATATGAAACAAATGCAATATACCTCTATAGGGGAGGGGGAGGCTACGCCGGTCGATTCCTGCCTCCGGGGGTCAGCGGTGGCTGCTCCGGAGCCTTGCCATCGCCGGTGGTGGCGACGAGGACCACCGCGACGGTGGACAACGATGGCCCGCACGCTGTCGCGGTGCGGCCATCACTTCCACATCGAGTGCCGGGGTGGGGGAAGGGGCCGCCAGGGTGGGGACGAGGACTTCGGGGTGGGGGAGCGCACCACCACCGCCCAAAGAGGCGGCCATGGCCGCGCATCGGGGTAGTGCGCGGGGCGCGGGCCACGGAAGAAGGGAGGAGGAAGCGAGGGACTTGGTGCGTGGGTGCGGGAGTGAGCGAGTGAGGAGAGTTAGGTAGCGGTGGCCGCACATTGATGTTGGCCCGATCGGCGCGCAGGCCCAGAACGTCCTGTCCGGCGCGGACACTTCTGGATGGACGCCCTCACAGAAGCATTATTCTTAACTTTTTTGTAACCTATGCATAAAAATAGTGTTTGCTACTCGTATACATCTTTAAGAGCACCTTTTTTTTATCTATAACTAGATATATGTCCGTGCGTTGTACCGGGATCATTTTTTTTACTAAACCTCATTACTCGAAACTGACACGTGAGCTCTAAGGACTTTGTATTAGACGCGGACATGTGGATCTAGTCTCCGTATTAGAACCGGGTAGGATAGGGACACGTAGGATGATTCGTATTGGACATGGAAACATGTGCACGATCGAGATTTGGTATCACCCGGTAGATGATTACTTTAGAGTCTTTTTAGGTATAGATAGATAATCTATATCTAATAATAAAGATGTAAAATTTTCGGTCATTTTTTTCGTCCATCCTTTTTTTTGGTTCGTCTCCCTCTAACTATCGGACAATGGAGAGTTTCTTCCGCCCGGACTTATGTATATAATCAATACTCATAGGAGTTATAATAGCTCTTGTCTAACGTGATACGGAGCCCGATTTCAAAACGTATTGGGTCGTGTATGTGGACAATTAGAATTCTAATCCAAATAGAGCTCTCAGATCATGTTTTAAAATATGTAAGACTTCCTGAATATAAATTCTATACGAATCAGCCTGAGCGTCCTAGCGTTTTGCGTCTTAGATGGAGCCAAAATGAGGAACATAAAAGGAAAACAAAAATTGAAATAAGAAAAACCCGGAAGAAAAAACACAGGAAAGACACGGAAAAGGAAAATAGAAAAGAAAACTGAAAAGAAAAAGGAGGGAAAAAGTAAACGTGAAAAATAAAAACATGGAAATATACACGAAAAGGAAAAATAAAACAAAAAACCAATAGGAACACAGAAGAGAAAATTAATAAAAAAACAATCAGAACGGAGAAAGCTAACAGCTCTTTGTGGTTTAATTTTGAGTTAAGATAAGATTGTAGTAAGATTTGTCTAGTATAACCGTAAGCTAAAATGTTAAGTAGTTTGTTATCTATAATCCAGTCTAAATTAATATGTCTCTGCATTTTACACATGTAGCAGTGCAACCCTGACGGGTGCCACCACGTGTAAAATAGAGAGATGTCTCTTGTTATAATCATCCCAGTACTTTATATATCGGCAACTAATTCCTTGTTGACTTGAATCAAATCTTAGAATTACGTACTTTTATGGGTCCTCGTCAAAGGAAGCACATAATTTGATATTACTGTAATAATACATGTATAGTATGAAGATTAGAGCTATGATATATTTACGAGTAAATATTTTTGTGTTTTGCAAAAAAAAAAACTTTTAAATTTGTACTTTTGTATACAAAGATGTGCTATAATTGATATAGGTTTAATAAAACATTGTCATATTATTGGCATCATTAACTTACACTATGGATCAAAATAAGCTATAGTTTTAAAAGTAAAACATAACTAGATCTATACTGTTCCTCCTGTTCTCCTTTCCTTTGAATATTCGATTGTTATTTTCTTCCGTTGCAACGCACAGATATATTTGCTAGTAATAATTTAATGTGCAGTTTTTTTAGAATCTAGTGCAGATTTTATGAGACGAGAGTATGCATTTGCCGTGCGCACCCATGTTGTCCCTCGGGAAAAAAATCGATCTGACGCACCAGCTCAACCGTACCCAATATTTCGAAGCACGCAGAAAAGCCTTTTTAAAATTTGGTTGAGTCGACGATCCAGCTCGGTAACCAGCCACACTTGGGTCCACTAGCGGTTGCCGGCGCGCTCCTCCTTGCTCTCCTATCTCCTTTCCTCCTTTCACACCCTCCGGCCAACGTTTACTACTGTAGCAGCAGTACATAAATCCTACTGTACTTGTCTGCAGTCCCCATTCATCCCCACCACCTCCACTTGAAACTGAAACTCAAATCAAATCAAATCAAACCAAATCGAGCCGAATCAAAGCCGTCCTCCACCTCCCCAACCCCAACGAGCGAATTCCGGTGCGAATTGGAGCCCTCCTCCTCCTCCCCCCGCATCTAGGGTTTCGCCCATGGACCCCGGCGCCAGCGCCGGCGGGGGCGGACGCCGGGCGGGCTTCGAGCGGGCGTGCCGGCTGCCCAACACCGTCCACTCCGAGGTCCTGCCGTCGCTGCCGCTCCCCACCCTCCCGCGCGAGCTCGGCTTCGACGCGCTCCGCGACGACGAGCCCCTCGCCGCGCCCGACCGCCCCGACATGATCATGCAGGCCGCCGACATCGCCCGCATCCTCGCCGACACCGACGTCTCCCACCTGTGAGCGCCTTTCCCTTCCCTTCCCTTCCTCGCCTCCTCACTCCCCTCGTTGCTAACTCCACCCTCCTTCCTTCCGCAGGGGCTTCACCCCGGAGGACAACGTCGACGTGGATCCCAGCCGGTGCTCCTGGCTCTGGAGGGAGGTGCTCAAGCACAACCCCGACGCCTTCAAGGTCAAGGCGCCCGGGCCGTCTTCGCAAGGTAAACGCTCTGCAAATTGAGCCTCCTTGGGTTAGGCCTTGTTTAGTTCCTCCCAAAAAAAATTTTACACCCTATCCCATCGAATGTTTGACACATGCACGGAGTATTAAATATAGACTAAAAAATAACTAATTCCACATATTGCGACTACTTTGCGAGACGAATCTTTTAAGCCTAATTAGTCCATGATTTGACAACAAAGTGCTACAGTAACACATGTGCTAACGATGGATTAATTAGGGTTGATAAATTCGTCTCGCGGTTTAATGACGAATTCCGTAATTTGTTTTTTTATTAGTATCCGAACATCTTATGCGACACCTCCATGTGACACCCACACCCTAGAACTTTACACCCTGGAAGTAAACAAGCCCTTAGTCCCAGCCCCTACCAGCCTAGCTAGGTACTGTAGTAGTACTACGTAGCTACCATCTCAAAATCCTGGCTGCTTTTTGCTCATTGGAGTCAACATTGTAGTCTGTCTAGTTCCCAGCTTCTGCAGCTGTATGTATGACTAGCCTTGTTAACGGTACTTTGCAATGGCCTGCCATGGACTGAACATTTCTTATCCTGCTGCTGCTGCTTAGCACTGCCTCCCTGATGGTTTGATGTTTGTGTGTCTGGCTTGCTGCTGTTTGAATGGTTTCATTTGCTTATGGTGTTTCGACAAGCACATTCTCTTGCCATTCCAATGCTCATCTGTCGAACTATGTCGTTGCACTGTGTATCATTGTGTTTACGGTGGGGGCGGGGAAGGCAGTTTTACGTATGTTCCTCAGCTTTCGATGTCCTAGTGCACGGAGATGACCTGTGCGCCACGTAACTCACGGATTAAATGCCCCCAAGTAGTTGGCTTTTGAACTTGTGCCAATCCCTGCAATTATTGTATGATGATTGTCGAGTGAGGTGGCGCTTACAGGATTTTCTCGCTGCTGCTGTGCCTTTTGCGTTGCCGGTGTTTGTGTAGTAGCACTGAGGCGTTTCTAGTTCCACGGACTGGGATGGAGGACATGACGATCGTTAAATATGATGTACAGCAAAACAGTGAGCACTTGTGTAGTTCATGGTAAAACATACCTCATGGGCGTTTCCTAGGCCATAAATGTGTGTCCATCATTAGTTCAGGAAATGACCTGTGTTACCTGGATTTGACACGTATCGATTCCAACTTGGACTGTCGTGGACTCTGGTGTCTTACTTGGTTGGTTCAGAGAAACAGGGTTCAGTGGATTATTCTAATATAGATGGTTCTAATATTGTAAATCAAGTTGCAAATTCCAGCTTAGTTTTAGTGTACAGTACTACAGTTACAACTCACAGCCACAGATGGCACTCAACCACCTATGTACTCTCATGTCCTGGAATTGTTCATGTTCAGAATGAGGTCGCAATGGCTTTCCAACAACGAAGCTCATTTTTTTGCTTCATTTTTTTAAACAAACCTTACGCCGTGTCATCCAACTACCGAGCTTCTCTTTCTTTAGCAGTTCTTTTGATCTATCTCAGCATGCTTGTTTCTCAAATCTGGGATGCTTGAATGTTTGTAGTCCTTTCGCTGCCTAATTGGATGCGGATTTTCTCTGTAAGAGCTCCATGCTATGTATGACTATTTGATGGGGACTGGACTGTCTAAAGTTTCCTTTTTATCCCACAAGTCCCTGTCCTGATTCCCGAAACATTGGTTCAGCTGTCAAAAATTGGCATGCCTTGCTAATGTATCATCTACCGGATCATCAGTAAGCAACAAATTGCACATAAGAGACCAAGCTACAATAGACAAGTGGGGCCAATCTAACCACTAGTGAAGTTACAACAACAACAACAACAAAGCCTTTAAGTCCCAAACAAGTTGGGGTAGGCTAGAGTTGAAACCCAGTCAGAAGCAATCAAGGTTCAGGCACGTGGATAGCTGTCTTCCAAGCACTCCTATCTAAGGCTAAGTCTTTGTGTATATTCCATCCTTCCAAGTCTCCTTTTATTGCCTCTACCCAAGTCAACTTCGGTCTTCCTCTGCCTCTCTTCACGTTACTATCCTGGCTTAGGATTCCACTACGCACCGGTGCCTCTGGAGGTCTCCGTTGGACATGTCAATCTAACCACTAGTGAAGTTAGAAGGACTAAATTGCTACTTTCCCGTAATCTATACATCCTATTTTAAAACGAGTTGTTTCTTCTATTACTGCATCCACCAATGCAAATTGCACTGTACCAACGATCATCTGGTACTATTAATTTGCTTTATATACAACCCCTTGGCTGTACTGCATCATTTGCGTGCTGTTTATAGGAACACATCAAGCTCTAATTGGTACAATAGGAAGTTTGGAACAGCTCTGTTGTAGCCTTGTGGTTTGTGGGTGCAACCATTATGTGTATGCAATATTAAATGCGTGTGATGTTCTCATTACTTGCTTTATGTTGTGGCCTATATTTTTTTTGTGTGGAAACAACAAGTTCATGACCTTCTTAATATTCAGATTTTCAATTTTGTAGGATGTATAATATGTTTCTAACTTAAATACTTAATTCAATTCCTTCTATCAGACTAGAAGTTATGGAAATTTGCTCATTTGGCATTTTGTATCTTGGCAATATTGTGCAGACTTCTTGTTGCTGCTCTCTATCCTTATTTGTTATCATGCCAAGCTATCAAACCCAAAACCATTGTGGTAGTGTGCTTGCTAGTTGAGTATCTGTCTGCTAGTCCTATGGTCTAGTAACATTATTGATGGGGTAATAATTTTTCATGTTTAAATAATACGAGTCAAAACAGCTTCTGTTTGATGATAGCAAAGCATTTCTATGGAGCTGCAAATGCTTTTGATTTTGTAAGAGACTTTTTTTATCTTGCCATATGTAATTTATTTATTACATTGGTCAAGCTTTTCAGGTCCATTTGGAGGCCCAGGATATCAAAATCAAGAACGTGAGAAGCACTTTGAGCATCTTACACCTAATACGAGCAAAGCACGAAATGAATCTGCATTTCCTCAGGATGAAATTGGCTCACATAGAGAGCATTTTCATGTAAGTTAGATACCACCAGTTTCTTATTGATGTCAGTTCCTTTCCTTGTGCTAAGGGGCTTTCTGTTGTAGAATGAACTGACCCTGGATTCCCTTGCTTCAAAGAAGCCAAAAGTAAGGAAGAAAGAAATTAACAATTCTGTTTCAAGTTCTGCCCCCAGCATTCCTAATAGTCAAGGTTTGTTTCTATTGATTTGTATATCCTGCCCATGTAGCTTCCCTTTAATTTTTTTTCAAATTCTACTGACTCTGGTTATAATTATGCTTTTTAGAAGTTATTGCTAACTTCTGTGAGGTGGTGGAGGATTTCTGTGGAAAAGCTGAAATTCCCGACGATGGAGATGGCGGTGACTGGTTGTCAATCCCACTTAATGATGTTAAGGTTCTTGTGAATGAAATTACATCTGTTCGATCCAAAAGGATATTGCATGAGGTTCCTATGGATACAGTTACAAGGTTATTAGATGTGATTGACCATCAGATTCGATGTTCTCAAGGTTTATCGATAGATGTGAAGGAAAATGTGAGTTACTTACCATATCATAGCAGTTTACATTTTTCAAATTTGCATTTAATTTGATCTTATTCTGTTTCAGATATGATTTAGTAAATTTCTTGCATGTTATAACTTAGCAACTAACAAGTGCTTGGATACCTTCAGTCTGATGCCGTTGATGCTGAACCTCTGGTTTTCTCTGCTTTGGAGTCCAGTCATGCTGCGTTGGCAATTATGACCCACCATGATATGCCAAAGCAACTGTATCGAGAAGAAGTATGCTCACACTGAATTCCTTTCTCAGCTTGTTGTGAAATGGTATTGTTATGGTTGCTGACTCTTTCCTTCTTTGTCCCCCTGAAAAACAGCTTATTGAGCGAATTATTGATTTCTCAAGGCATCAGATCACAGATTGTATGTCAGCAAGTAACCCAACCTTCCGAGCTCTCTACAAACCAGCTGAAAATGTTGCAAACAATGGTAATATCAAAGTACATGCTGATATTTCTTTTTTCCCCTTGAATATGTAGGACAGCTGCGTATCATTGCATTATTTGGGTAACAAAAAAAAACGTAAGTACATGGGTACATCATAACCACTCGACAGGGTACACTTGTACACAAACAAACAGTTGAAACATGGACACCGCAGAGCGGGTAGAAGAATCACAAACTAGGATCAGAGCCCCTAAGCTCCGTTAAGCCTTTCCACCCTTGCACCACATTGCAGGCTCTTTGTGAATTGTACGCCAGCCATGCATTGCTAAATTGATATTTCTGTCTTTGGCTTTTCATGATTGTCGAGCCACATTCCTTTCTAAGTTGGTTACACGCAATTCTCTGTTTTCTATGTTTTATATGCTTTTTTGTACTGTAGCATTTCATGAGTGACAAGCTTTTATTATGCTTGAGCCCAACCAACCTTTCTGCAAATAATTTAGTGCTACTCCCTCTGTCCTGAGATAAAAGAGATTTCGAGTTGTCCTATAAGTATGAAAAAGTTTATCGAAAAGGAAAATAATATTTACGACATCAAATTAGCATCATTAGAAATATTATTAAATGCCAGTGTTCAAAAAGGCGCTCTTCCTCGCTCGGCTAGGCATGCCTCTGCGCTGGGCGGAGGGGTACTGCCTTGCACCGGGATTGGGGGAGGCGGTACCCTAGGTGGCGGCAGCCCGTTGGCGGCAGTATGCACGCAGATCCACCTAAGGCAGGGACGTGTGCGAGCGACGCAGACGTTGGGCGGTGTTGGGGAAGGGACGTCGGGCAGAGGTCGCCGGTGGGGAGGAGGAAGAAGACAATATGCAGCAGTGGGACGGGAGCAAGCCAGCGCCGCCATGGGGGAGAAGGAAGGGTGAGGGGAAGAGCTGCCACCGTCAGAGGCAGGAGAACCATCAGGCGGGACTTCGGGAGAGAAGCATCGGGAGTTCAGGACTTCGGGAGGGAAGCATCGGGCGAGAGAAGAGAAGTGTCAGGAAGAGAGGCGGATGAGCAGCGACTGGCGGCTGGGGATGGGAGAGAAGCATTGGCTGTTAGGGTTACACACTATATATATGAATTTGTTGGACTTGGGCTGAAAATACTGCTGTTGGGCTTCTTTTGGCCTGCTTTGTCGGTGCAAAACGGGACTTTCTCTTCAATAAAGTCCACTTATCTCTTATTTCCTTTTCTTTTTTAAACACATGTGTGTATATGCTAACGCCTAGAAAACGCCTAGGCTCACCTAGGCGCGCCTGGGCTCTAGGTAGAGGGTCACCACCTAGAGAGCGCCAAGTTCCTTTTGTAACCTTGTTAAATGCAGTTTCATAGTTTACCTCTTTGATTTGTAGATGCCAGAACTCTTCTCTATAAACTTGGTCAAACTCAGGATAGTTTGACTTAGGACAAACCTACCCTTATATTTCAGGACGGAGGGAGTAGCTATGATGATCACTAGTGATGACTAAACTTGCCTTTTGGAATCAACTTGTACATCACACATTTTTCATATATATATGTATCTTTCTCTTTGGGTGAACTAGGAGATGATGATGAAGATGATTTGGAAAATGGACAAGTTAGCAAAAGGAGACGTACTGCTACTAATTTGAGCATCAGGAAATCTTCAAACAGGTACATGATCAATGCACTTAAAATATTTTGTTGTTTCTGGTTTGTAATGGGGCACTACCAGGCACTAATAGTATTCTATTTTCTTTTTCTGTGTCAGAGTTTCTGCTTCTGTCTATTCTGCTGTGCAGAAACTATGCTTGATATTGGGCTTTCTTAAGGAACTGCTCACAACAGTGCGCTTGTCAGATAGTTGTATTCTGCAGTTAGCGAAAACATGCTTTACTACATTCTTGGTGGATAATATGGAGCTATTACAATTGAAAGCGATTGGGGTGATTTGTACGGTAATTTTCTGCCTATTTGCTCAATCTTTTTTCTGCACATTCAGTTTTCAAAGAATTTGCTCACATTCAAATCTTTGCACAGGTGTTTTCATCATACACACAGCACAGGAGTTACTTGGTTGATGAAACACTTCACCTTCTTCGCAAGTTGCAGTTTTCCAAAAATGCTGTTAGAACCTACCATCTAGCAGATGAAGACCAAAAGCAAATCCAGATGATAACAGCACTGTTAGTTCACCTGGTTCAGTTTAGTGCAATTGTTCCCGATAGCTTAAAAGGAACAGTTGATTGGACCACTATCGTTGATGCCTCTGGTGATGGTGATTATTATCCAATTAAATGCCATGAAGTGGCAACAGAGGCTTGTTGCCGTTTTTGGACTGATGTCCTTCAACGTTTTACTGCTGCTAAATCTCAAGATATGTCGGAAACCAAAGGAATAATAGATAATCTTGTTCAGGATTTCCTAACGATACTAAACTTGCCGGAGTATCCAGCTGCTGCTTCTATTCTTGAGGTAATTTTGCTCAGCAATGCTGTTGCTATATCTGTGACCTTAAATATAGGCATGAGCTGGCATTAGTATTACTGATTCTTGAAACTTAGGGCATGATTGGTTGGGTGAATCCAGCCCAGCCTGGCTACCGTGATGCAGGATTGGGATGTTTGGTTGGCCGGGGGAGGCCATGGTGGATGGGTGGGTGGGGGAGGGTGCACGAGGCGTATATAGGCCTGGCTCCGCGGAAACTAGATTGAAATCCGTTTCCTGTGGGCCTGGTTGGCGCGGTGCAGCCTGCAAGTGTAGGTAGGTAATTGGTAGCTAAACCTGGCCCACATGCAAGCAACCAATCAACTACCCAATCCACCATGGCCCGAGTGAAGCAAGCAAACCAAACAAGCCTGCTTGCATGCTGCCTACAGGCTGGTCATGCTCAGCATGGTTACGATCCACCTTCAAGCCACGCTGGGCCATCTAAGCAATCACGCCCTTAATATTACTGGTTTAATTACTTTGTTAAGTGTTTTGCATGACCCTCAAATACTATTTTATATATGTACAGGTTCTCTGTGTGTTGCTGCTTCAGAATGCTGGATTGAAATCTAAGGACACTAATGCTCGGTGCTTTGCTATTGATCTTCTTGGTGGTATTGCATCAAGATTGAAGCGTGATTCTGTCATCTGTAGTGAGGAGAAGCTTTGGATATTGCAAGATCTCACTGATGCAGGTAGTGATGGCTCAAAAATCTTGAAAAACAAGTGCTGTGTTTGTCTTGGTGGAAGAGGTATAAATATAGCCTGTAATGAATGCGGCAGATGTTTCCATTCAGATTGTATGGGGGCTGGTAGTCAGGATAACTTACAGCGTGATAGTGTCTGCCCCTTGTGTTTTTGCAAACAACAGCTCAATGTGCTACAGTCATACTGCCAGTCACAAATTAAAGAAAATGGCAAAAAAACTGCTGCCTCTGCTAGTAAGAAATCTGCTAAACCAGTTGAGGTGCCAGCAGTGGATATTGTTCGACAAATACTACTGAGTTATCTCCAAGAAGCTGGTCCACAAGATGATGGGAACCTGTTTACTCGATGGTATGTTGCATGGAATGTTTCGTTGTGCAAGTGTCTTTGGAGAATTATAACCATTTTGTATGCAGGTTCTATCTGTGCATCTGGAACAAAGAGGACCAACATTCTCAGGAGATCATCTACTATCTCGCTAGGTTAAAATCCAAGGAGATTCTGCGAGATTCTGGCAATGGTCTGGCAATTTCCAGAGATTCAGCAAAGAAAATTTGCTTGGCACTTGGTCAGAAGAACTCATTTTGTAGGGGTTTTGATAAAATTCTTGCCCTTCTTTTGGTATGTGGTTGCTTCCAGATACTTCAGTTTAATCTATATGTTCTAGAGTTAATTCCCAATGCTTTTCAGGCTAGCTTGAGAGAAAATTCTCCTGTAATAAGAGCAAAAGCCTTACGTGCGGTGAGTATATGTGTAACCTATGAAAGTATTTGTGTAACCCATGAAACTATATGTTTTGCATCTTTCTCATTTAGACATCATTCATCAGTATCGAGGACTTAACTTCTCTGTAGGTCAGCAGTATAGTTGAAGCTGACCCTGAGGTCTTGGGTGACAAACGTGTCCAATCTGCTGTTGAAGGGAGGTTTTGTGATTCGGCTATTTCTGTTCGTGAAGCTGCCCTTGAACTTGTTGGGAGGCATATTGCTTCACATCCTGATGTGGGCCTGAAGGTCAGTAGACATATGACATATCAAGTTACCTTATGACATATTTGTGGGCATCGATATGGTTTACTATGCGTCTTCCCATCACAGTATATAGAAAAAGTTGCTGAGCGAATAAAGGACACTGGAGTCAGCGTTCGCAAGCGTGCGATCAAAATTATAAGGGATCTTTGTGCTTCAAATCCGAACACGGACACAACTCATGCCTTTGTGGAGATAATTTCTCGTGTTAATGATGAGGAGTCCAGTGTACAGGTGAGCTGATAGCCTGATATGAAAAACAATTGACTGATGTCATGAAAATATATTGTCTTAGCAGATTCATATGTGATTGCAAATGTTTTGTTTTCTTTCATTGCCTATTTTTTGAATTTTATTTTGTAAATAGGTTGATTCTTAGGTGTGTGTGTGTGCTTAAATATTTGCTCTCATGTGTTAGTGAAGATAGTGTAGTTACTTAAAATATTTACATGTTAATTGGGAAACTCCCTTGCATCTTTTGCTTTTCCAAATAACAAAACATCCTCATCTGAAAAATTTAGATAACACAAAAGGAAAGAGGAAGTTGTTAATGCACATCTTTCTGCTTCCCCCCTATTTAGCCATACATTATTAGTCTGGTCAATCGTTTTTGTGGTTTCTCCTTGATGCCATAATGGATAACACCGAACATACTTTATAATATTACAGATTACAGAAGAACATGCAACATTGTTGGGCCTGCAATATTTATGTTGCTTTCGATCACCAATTGAGTTAACATAAACTATCTTCATTACTTCTGTAGGATCTTGTGTGTAAAACATTTTATGAACTATGGTTTGAAGAACCAACTGGGAGTCATAAGCACTTGGTTGCTGATGGAAGTTCAGTTCCAATGGAGATAGCTAAAAAGACTGAGCAAATTGTTGACATGTTGAGGAAGATGCCCAATCACCAACCCCTGATTACCGTCATAAAACGTAACTTGACTCTTGACTTCCTCCCTCAGTCAACCAAGGCTGCAGGGATTAACTCATCCATGGTGGCATCAATTCGGAAGCGTTGTGAATTCATATGCAAACGCTTATTAGAAAGAATACTGCAGGTACTTTCTGACCCAATCTGATAGTGAATAGTTTGTGTAATTGATAATTTGAGATTAATTCTCGCACATCTCTTTCTTGAAGGTTGAGGAGGGAGCTGCTAATGAGATGGAAATCCACGCGCTTCCTTATATTGTTGCCTTGCAAGCATTTTGTATTGTTGATCCCACACTCTGCATTCCAGTAACTGATCCTTCTAAGTTTGTTGTGACACTACAACCATACCTTAATATTCAGGTGAGCATGGTTTGCGTCAGTCGAAGTTTAGGTTGTCATCTCCTATCAGAATAGAGCTTCTTGTGTTCTTGCCCCTGTTTCCAATCCCAATTGTTACCCTCATTTTGCTAACTTTACGATTTTGCCCCTTTTTTTTTTTTTTTTGAACTGAAGGCAGCATTTACCCCTATTCCATTAAGTCCACTTAATGGTGTCAACTCAGCTATTAAAAGACTAGTTGGCTCATACGAATTGCCCCTACTTCTTTGATTACTATGTCATTTTGCCCTATTTTGACATTTAGAGCATTTGACAGATACCAAAACAATTTTGATGACAAATCTCGACAAAATATGCATACATTTCAAATTTGAGCAAACTTTGACAAAAAATTAATTTTAGAAGTCTGAAAGTGCATGAATAAAAAATTAAATCTCACCCAAAGCAGGTGGCAAAATCACAAACTTAAAAAAACAAGGACAAAATTGCAATTGGTCTTCACAACAGGGGCAAGGACACTATTGTCGCTTTATTTATGACAACCTAGGGTTTCATTGATGCTGTGGCTTCATTGCTGCACATTCGTACCACATCATACTGTTTATCACGCTCCTCTACTAATTGTGCTGTAGACATGAACCTATATGCCTATATGTTCGAAAATTCTGCTGTTTTGTGGTTGGTTTTTGATTACACATATACTGTAAACAGCAGAGCTAGAGTTTTGATTATTTTTGTGAAGTAGCTATATTCTTGTTGATGTGATCAACTAAAACATTTGTGCAGTGTGAGTTTGTATAGTACTTTGCTGCTACAGTCAAAATTACAGCAAAAGTAAATTTAATAATTTCAGTTAGTTCTGTGCACAATTACATATCTGAGCCATCTTATTTGGAACTGAATGCAAGTTCATTAATGTTTATGATTATCAATCATAGTTTGTCATTTGTTTCTCCCCTACCAATACAATTTCATTTGCTCCTGATCATCTATATCTACAGGTTGACAATAAATCAGCTGCCCAGTTGCTTGAAAGTATTATTTTTGTGATTGATGCTGTTCTTCCACTCATAAGGAAGCCGCCACAAAATGTTGTTGAAGAACTTGAGAAGGATCTGAAACATATGATAGTTCGCCATTCGTATTTGACAGTTGTACATGCTTGTATCAAGTAAATGCATCTCCCCCCTCCCTCCCTAATTATTGTTTGATAAGCATTGTTTCTCCCTATGTTCTATTTGGAGTTGAGAATTCATTTCATGAGTTCATATGCTATTGTTGTAACTTAGATGGTATTTGTCGTTCTGATTTATTTTTTTAAAATTCTTTGTATACTTTTTATGTACCCTTCTGCAGCATCACTTAACTTGTTATTTCATCTCCCTACTCTCTCTTAAGTCTTAACAACTTCCATATTTCTTATCTGAGTTGTTCCTAAAAAGCAATATTTTCTCTTTTGATTGAAATAAGTTATTGATCACTGTCGGGATAGGCTTGTCATATTTCTATCTAATCTAAGCTAAAAATGAGCAACAAATTGCAGAAAGTTTCAAAGAAAACTAATGCAGTGTTGACTATCGTGTCTATGTCATTATGTTGAGCATTTGTAAACATTTAAGCATAGTTACTAGTTAGTTATTGAATATCTTATTCGTATATTAATCATTATTCCTATATTTGGGGGGGGCTGATCTAGTGCAAATTAGTTCTAGATGCAGTTTTAGCAGCATCAGTTTATTCTATCATTGATCATTGAGCTCATGTGGTTTTTTTTCTCTGATCATCTTGCATTCTTGCCAGACTTGCCTTGAAACATTCTTGTTTATTTCTCTCTTGCCTTTTTACAGGTGCCTTTGTGCTCTGAGCAAGTCAGCAGGTAGAGGTCCAGGATTACTGGAAAACCTTGTTAATATTTTCTACAAGCATCTGTCTGGAGCTAGTTCAGATAGTCAGGTATTCCATTTTTTGATTCATTGAGTGAGCTGCAATCTTACGCAAATATATGGTAAAAATGAAACTTATTTTCACATAGTAGTTGTTTTTGTATTATGAGGCCTATAATTATTCCATTTATCTATTATGTGCAATTGAGGACAACTGTAGAAGTACATTTATTATTTATCTTGTATATGTATTGGGCATGAAAATCACTGTTTCTCTCTCTACGAAGTTCTGTATCTTGCGATCTCTCTCTCTGTTTCAAACATGCAGCTTTGCTATGTTTAGCTGATTGTATTCATTCTGGAACTCAGCTGTTGGGTCGATCACTGTTTTGTCTTGGACTCCTCCTTCGGTATGGTTATCAATTGATGCTAACATCTGAAAATCAGCTTGATTTTCCCAAGATTATCAACTTGCTCCAGAGAAAATATCTTCTCAGGGATGACTTCAGCTTGAAGGTTCGAGCTTTGCAGGTGTGTGTGACCACTTGTAATTCATTAAGACATAAAATATCTGCTTGGTGATGTGATCATCCGTGCCTAGCTGTATTCAATGTAGGCCTAGCTGTATTCAATGTAGTTTATGGTGTGATTCTATGTGACTGGCTGCTCACTTTTGAATCTTGTTTACAATCTCCAGATATCTGTACATGGTGATTAGTCGAGTTAGGGTTTAGAACTCTGACATTATTTATTTGAGACCCATAGCAACTGGAACTAGCATAGATGACAATGCATAGCAAGTCACCTGTCTACATAACTGTTGCTTTGGTTGTTACAGGGTTGCAAATTTTATTTTATTTTATTTTTGTATGAACTGTTCCCTATAAGATGCCAATTTCCCCTTGTACATTCAGACTTTGGGATACATACTTATTGCGAAGCCTGAATTTATGCTACAAAAGGATATGTTGAAACTCATAGAGACAGCACTATCTTCTGGGGTTGATTATAGATTAAAGGTATGTCATTTTGTAATTGTCTTCTTTTGGTAGTTATTTTCTGTTTGAAAAAATTGAGTAAATTAATCCACCTGCTCAGATTCAAGGACTTCAAAACCTCTATGAGTATCTCAGAGATGCTGAAAGCCAACTTACTGCTGAGAGTACTGCGAAACCTCCTGTACAATGTGAAATAAATGGCGGAAGTGAAGTGCCTGTTGCTGCTGGTGCTGGAGACACCAACATATGTGGTGGTATTATCCAATTGTATTGGAGTTCTATTCTTGATAGGTGCTTGGATACAAATGATCAAGTTCGCCAGAGTGCACTTAAGGTGAATTAAGCAGGCATTATATTTCATTTCACACTTTATCTTATCATTTTACAATAGAAATAAGTTATTCTTCTTCTTGTAGATTGTTGAAGTTGTACTTCGCCAGGGTTTAGTTCACCCTATTACCTGCGTTCCTCACCTTATAGTACTTGAAATGGACCCGCTGGAGGGGAACTCGAAGTTGGCTCATCATCTACTGATGAATATGAATGAAAAGTAAGTTGGCCCAACTTCCCATACTTATTTGTTTTATTATATTTGGAATAAAACACTATCTGATCAGTTCAAATTTGTTTGCAGGTACCCTTCATTTTTTGAAAGCCGCTTGGGTGATGGACTACAAATGTCATTTAAATTCTTTGAAATCATAGTCGGCAACCATAAGATGGCAGCAAACATAAAATCAAATCCAATTGCATTTGTCAAACCTGGCATATCTAGAATATACCGTCTTATCCGTTCAAATCGAAATTCCAGAAACAAATTTGTCCACTCGATAGTTCGGAAATTCGAGTCTGATAGCCGGAGTCGCAGCACAGTTAGCTTTCTTGTGTAAGTAATTTAAGTAAAAATACACTTGTTGACGCTCTATTCTTTGATGAGGTATTGGCTGTCATTTTGTCTACATATTGCAGATACTGTGCTGAAGTTCTTGCCTCCCTGCCTTTCACATGCTCCGATGAACCACTTTACTTGATCTACGATATAAATCGAGTTATTCACCTTAGAGCTGGAGGAGTCGAGGGCAATTTGAAAAGGTGGACTTCTATGTCTCAACCGCAGGATACGGCGGGTATGCCAACATTGCCAAGAGAGAGTCATGTTGTCATGCAAGAGCCTGGCGGATATTATGATAATGTGGGATATGTTCCTGAAAGGGTGAATGACAACAATCCTTGCAGTACTTCAGACGTGGACATGGCCAAAGTGCAGGTGGATGTGGACGTGGCCAAAGTGCAGGTGGATGTGGACATGACCAAAGTTCAGGTGTGTTAGAGAAGTTCTGGGTGGTAGGGTCCATTATTTCAATTGATCCATCAGGGAGGCTGCTGCCCTGAAACCTTTTTCATCTTATAATTTTCACTAACTTTTTTTTTCTTTTTTTGCCAGGGAGATTGCCATGATGCAATAGCCCTCCAGCTACTACTGAAATTGAAGAGACATTTGAAAGTTGTTTATAGTTTAGATGATGCCCGCTGTCAGGTATGGTTTGCTCTTTATTTGGAGATTGGTACTGCTATTATGGGTGCATTTACATGAGACATGGTCTGTTTGTGTTTTAATACAGGCATTTTCTCTAAAGGAGCCTCCGAAATCTGGAGAAGCATTCTCCAGGCAGAATGTTCCTTTTAATATTGGCAACACTAACATCAGTCTGCCGAGCTGCCTGCAGGATGTAGCTTCTGTTTACCAGGTACTAAATAGTGAACTTAAGATTCCTTGGCAAGACAAAGCTGTATTAGTTTATGGTTTGGTATCTGGCATGTGCTACTCTCTTTTTTCTTTGAAAGATATATCCTACCCTGTTCACGGTTGACGCTGATGTGGTTTGGTGGACATGATGCTCAGGATTTCAAGACAGCGCTCCGCGAAGATTCCATGGACTTTGCTGTGTTCATCCCTTCAGTCCAGACTAGGAAGCGCCCAACCCCAAGAAGTACGACGAGAGTCAGGAGAACGGCTGCCCCGAGTGTCACAAAAGCCCGTGGTGGTGCACGGGGAGACGATTCTGATGATGCTGACGACGACGACTGGACCGGGGGCCCAAGAATGCTCGACTTCAGTGGGGGCGGCCGTGTGACAAGGCAGAGGGTCCAAGTATGATGACTGGTCTTGGTGCTTTTGTACATTCTAGGGAAACCTATAGCAGCTGACACAAGGAGAGTTAGGGCTGAGTTTTAGGTTTAAAGTCGTTTAGGGTACATAGAAGCAGAAAGGAAAGGAAGATAGCTTTTTACTTAGATGCCATTGATTTGGAGCACTCCTTTTCTTGCTCTGCCCCTGTCCTGTTTGTAATTCCCGTCGGGCTTTGGCAAAACTGACAAACGGGTTGTGCTCCGGCTTCTGATCTGATTCAATGGGAATGAAATTATTCCTTCTGTGAAATGATTCCTTTGCCTGTAGCCTATGTTTCGTGTAATTACCCCGCTCGCTGATGTTGTATCTGTACGTGTGCTAAGCAATTTTTTTTTGGGTTCATAGTGCTTTATAATATACAGCTACTAAGCCTCATTCCATTCATGTGTAATTCTCCGGGGAAGAAAGGAGCTAGCTACCTTCGGTAAAAGAGTAAGCTGCAACAGACAAGCAGTAGGCAGTAGTTTGCTGTTGCTGCTAGCTAGTTGAGATATATTTTTTAGTTGATTTATTATTAATTATTGAATTGTTGTGTAGGTAGGTAATGCTACAAAACGGGCGTCTGTCCGGACGGACCGTTCCGCGCTCGCTCCCTCTTCCTGGGCCAAATTGCCAATAGCCCAACCGGCCGCCCCACTTATTCCCTCCCTTTCTCTTACATGTGGGCCCGAAGGTCAACTCCTCTTCTCCTTCCTCTAGACGGGAAACGTAGTCGATGCCTGCTTGTACGAGAGCACACGTGCTGCTTCCTGCACCCGCTCTCAACCCAACCCACACCGACTCACCGTCGCCCACCTCGATGGGCCGCCGCCGCGGCGCTGTCCTTGTCCCTCCTCGCGGGCATCCTCTCCGACCTTGCGAAGATCGGCAGCTCCTTCCAGCCGCTGTGTGTGGCCAGGCGGCCAGGAGAGGGGGTCGTTGCTGGCTGGGCCCAAGCCAGGCGTAGGCCGTGCCACCATCCTCGGTCACCAGCTGGCCGAAAGCAGAAAATGCATGTTGCAAGCGTATGTTTCGAGTGTTTCATATGGTTCAGAGGTATGTTGCAAGTGTTTCATGCGAATATTGCAAAAGTAGATCAGGATGTTGCAATATGCTACACGGATGTTGCAATGTGCTACACGTATGTTGCAAATTTCTATTCACAATGTTTCATCTGTTTTTCCAGACATATGCTGCACTGTGTTTATTTGGATGTTGCATATATTTCACACGTATGTTGCAAGTGTCTTATCTCGATGTTGCGTATGTTTTACAATGGATTTCAAGTGTTTTTCAGGTGTTTTTCCAAGTGTTTCACATGTATGTTGCAAGTGTTGCATCTGGATGTTTCAAAAGTAGATCGGGTGTTGCATCTTCATCCTCGTTTTTTTGTCGCCTCGCCTCGATGTCTTCTCCTGGCGCTGGCTGAGCATCCGCCGCTCCCTCTCCCTCTTTTCTCGATGTTTGTGACGTTCGGGGCGGCGCAGACACAACGTGGGTGCGCGAAACAACGTGGAAAACAAACTGCAGACGCGGGCATCCGGATGCTAGCAAAGCGCGATGTATATGTGCTTGCCGTAGATCTCCACTCTCCAGCGTGATGGTCTCCCCTTTTTTTTGAGTAGAAGCGTGATGGTTTCCTGTTTTTTTAGCAACACCACCATCTTTGTTTAGCTAGGAGAATTGTACATATTACAAACATCATCAGGTGATTTCAAGAACCAAACATGCCGCCTAAACTCAGCATGGATCGAGCTACGAACTATCCTGTGAGCGTCAATATTTGAGTCTTTATGCCCACGTACAAACTCGATACTTCTAAAAAGCTGTCTCTCTCGCATCGATCTCCCAGATAACCCGTCTTTAGATTCCGACTTCGCCTTATTGGACAGTCACCTGGAAGCGTGATGGTTTCGGTTTTTTATTTTTTAGGAAGGATGGTTTCGTTAGATAGTGGACTTCGCCTTATTTGGACAGTCACCTTCCTTTTTGGCCCTCAAATTTTTTCCGTTCCCTGATGGTTTCGGTTTTTCATTAAAAACGTTTTTGCCCCTAGGCGCAAGGATGGCTGATGGTTTGAACGCATGCATCGAGGCGTGACGCAGGTTTTTTTTCCTCTCAAATTTGCTTCACGTTTTTTTCGAGGCAAAACGTCTTTTTCGGTAGTGTCAAATTAGGGATGAAAGTTGAAGTGAGTGTCAAATAGAGTGAAGAAAAGCCTCCTGGCAGGTGTCAAATAAGGAATTCTCTCTACTGCGTTCCCTTCGGTTGGGCTGGTAAGCCTCCTGGCCCATTGGTGCATCGCTCTACGGCCCGGCGGATGCAGAACGCGTGGTGCGAGGGCCCACACGTCAGTGGCGTTGCTGCTCAGGGTCCACCCGGTGCGGTGCCGACTGCCCCTCGCCTCGCGCACCGGAACCGGATCTCGTCTCCTTTCGGATCTCGTCGGCGCCGTCTCTCCCACGCTGCCCTCTGCCGCCGCCACCACCACCTCCTGCGCCGGCGCTCCTCTGCGACGCAAGTTCGCCTCCGGAGCTCGATCCTGTCTCCCTCGCCTCCGCCTCTAGGTAGGAGGAAGTCGTCGCCTTCTTAGGTCAAGCCTGAGCTTCCTGACTTGTGTCCATGTGTAATGGTCTTGCAGATGTTACATGCTTTTCTAGTCCCTCGGAATAATTAACATCGATTACACAATCATGGAAGAGCAGCAAGTCAAGCCATCAGATCTGCCACCCACTAGTTCGGACAATCAGGATCCAGTTGCAACACCTCCTGTTACCAGTGCTGATCCTGTTCGTCCGGCTGCTTCAACTGATTCTCCCAGTCAGGTTGCCGGTGCAGCTCCTGCACCTACCGCTGCTCCTGCAGAAGATGCTGCAGGGCGTGAGGCGCCAGCATCCGTGCTTTCTGCATCTGGTTTATCCTCCTGGGCTAAGAACCTAAAAATCCCCCAGCCTTCATCAGGTCAAGAATCACCTACAGGAAAGAATACCTTTGCCCGTTTAACAAGTGGCCTTGGACTGCGTATGTCTCCAAAAGCGGCACAGCAAGATGAGGGTGCTGAAGGAAGCACCTCCCCAACAACAGGACAGCCCGGTGTTTTTGGTTCTTTGACGAAAGGCATCGTGGATTCCTCTAAGAATGCTGTAAAGGCAGTGCAAGTCAAGGCTCGCCACATGGTCTCACAGAATAAAAGACGATACCAGGTACTTCTAGTTCTACATGGGCATCTAAAGATGAAAAGTTGACATCTTCGAGTACTCTTGTTGTTCAGTTCTCTAGTGTAACATAATCAAGATACAATCACACAAGTGTCCATTCATCATCTTCATTCAGTGATGGTAAACTTGTTGCATAATGTGCTTTTGTGCCAGTGTGCATCGATGCTAATGACTGTCAACTTAAATCTATATAATAATCTATCTGCTCATATCTAACTTGCAGCAAGTTTGTACACATTACTCAGGTTTATCTAATTCTCTCATTTTGTGTTTCTACACATGCTCTCAATATCTATGGGTCCTAGGCACATGGTAGGGTGATGCTTAGATCCTAGGTGACCTTGTTGAACGTTAGTTTCTCAATCAGGGAGATCTTGATTTGTGCCTGATGATGATAATAAATCATCACTTCTATGTACTTTGATATAAACACTAAGGGCAATTGGAGAACGGAAAATTTACTTACAGGAGCAAGAATCATCAATTTGATGATGCTGATTAACCTTTTTATAAATCATGTGGGGTTGATTGTTGTCATTAACACCTGAAGGAATTGTATGTCAGATCATATTAGTGATGATCCTTTAGTTGATTAAGTTTTGTAGATTTAATATAATGGAAAGGTGTAATGATCTGATTCTGCTACTTACTCAGGAAGGAGGATTTGATTTAGACATGACATATATTACTGAGAACATAATTGCTATGGGTTTTCCCGCTGGTGACTTGAGTTCAGGGCTTTTTGGATACTTTGAGGTCAGTATACAAGCGAGATTTCGATGTTCCTTAAAGCTTGTTCCCTTTTATATGCCCTCATGGAAAAAGGGAAAGTAATACTCCATTTCAGGGTTTCTACCGCAACCACATGGAGGAAGTCATCAGGTTCTTTGAAATGCACCATAAGGTAACTTTTGCTTGTTATTAAGTTTCTTAAAAATTAGCATAAATGCTTCCCAGGTGACACATTTCATATTGTTGGTTATAGTTTATTGCTATTCTTGTCCATTTTCCTACACCACCATACCTTGAACTTACTGCATTGTCTTCATGTTATTAATGTAGCACGAGCCATCTTTGGCAGTCAAGGACTAGGTTCAATAGAGCAAGCCACTTCATAGCTCATCCTCTGAGAATGAGACAGGAATAACTTTAGAAGGATATTATCGGTGTTAGAGCAGTAGGGATGTAATGTGTAAATGAATAATCTGTTTTATTTGATTTGACTACCAAATTCTACCGAAACTAATACGGTTTGAATTTTCCCCCTCTGTCAGTAGTTTCTTCATTGTTAATTTGAGCTATAAATATGAATGTGCTCAGACTTTTTTTTGGTTCGTATTCGATCTACTTCACCCAAACATATCATTTAACAGCTTACTAGTTGTATTAAAGAACAAAACTGAGGACCTTGGAGAGGAGCTTGGCACCTGGGCCCAAACCCGGGTGCTCACTTTAGGAGGGGATTCCCTCTGTTTTCCGTGAGGGAAAAAAGAGAAAAACTGACAATTTTTTTACATGGTCATCTTTCCCATAATTATTATACATATTAACAATTTCATAATTTCATAGAATATGCATGTTTTTATCATGAAATGAGCACTATAAGACCATTAGTTTTGGTGCTTACTTAACATTTCATCTTGTCTAATGAGCATGCTTTATTTTATCCCCATGCATTTTCAAAATTCCTTTCCCCTCCTGGTAAGTGTATTGCCTTTTCCTTCTTACAAAAAGAAAGTTAATGTGCTTAAGTGCATTGTTTGTCTATTTAGTTTCCAGTATTCAAGGCAGCTAGATAAGTCTAGATTCTGAACTTTAATTATAAAGAGAACCTGCATTTGAGGGCTTATCTTTTTTGTAGCACTATAAGAAATAGGAATTTTGAACTAATCATGCATTTTAGTCTTCTAATTTAATCATTATGTTACAGGGGAAGTATAAGGTGTACAATCTTTGTTCCGAAAGGCTATATGATGCATCTCTTTTTGAAGGAAAGGTATGGGTTGCTTACCATTTCCACATTTATAGTACACCTAAGGCATGATACTCCCAGCCACCAACAAAAAAAAAATACTAAAAACTCAGTGGCACATCTGCTGATGTATAAAGTGTTCCCATCTTTGTCTCAGTTTCCTTATTGTATTTTGGTAATTTGACAATACTTCTGTTGTGCCTTGATGTCAACCGTTTGGCCTTGCAGCATGATGAATTTGTTGGTGTATTATATTGGAAAATCTAATTTTGTGTGCGTCTTTCAGGTGGCCTGCTTTCCTTTTGATGATCATAACTGTCCTCCAATACAACTTGTCATATCATTCTGCCATAGTGCCTACTCATGGTTGAAGGAGGATATAGAGAATGTGGTGGTTGTCCATTGCAAAGCTGGTAAGGCAAGGACAGGATTGATGATCTCGAGTCTTCTACTATTTCTAAAGGTAAGGTTACCATGCATTGTATCTACATACCAATCAGAATGATACCTACTGCAAAATCTTAACCAAATTTCTTACAATTGGAGTTTTTTCCCCTTTTGTAACACAGTTCTTTCCTACTGCTGAGGAGTCCATTGAATACTATAACCAGAAAAGATGTGTAGATGGAAAAGGGCTTATTCTCCCAAGTCAGATTGTGAGTGACCCTCATAGTTATGAAAGTTGATTCATATAACTTTTGTCTTTACTGAACATGTTGGGAAAATTGCAGAGATATGTGAAGTATTTCGAGCGCATCTTAACTTACTTCAATGGTGAAAATCAGCCACCCCGAAGGTATTTATACCTTTTCAACCATGGTGTCAAAATGATATGCATGTGTATTTTGCTTTAGTAATTAACCATGTTATTACACTTTCCAGGTGTATGCTTAGAGGGTTTCGTCTTCATAGATGCCCCTATTGGATTAGGCCATCAATTACAGTCTCTAATCACAATGGTATGTCCATTTAATTGAAACTGAAGTTGCCATATGTCATGATACAATAATTTAAGAATATACTGTGGCTTGATATGTTCTAGTGTATCAATTAATCAATCTGTTATGCAGGCGTTCTTTTTTCTACAAAGAAGCATCCAAGAACAAAAGAACTAATGGTAAGCATCTTCATTTGTGAACCACTCTTATTTTGCGTTCAGTTACTCTTAGGTTTATAGTTTCGTCTCTGTTCAGTTTGCTATGGAATATTTGGGTAGCTTATATTATGAATTCTTCATAGTTTGATGCCTGTTTGCATAGTGGGTAAGGGCACCACTGCTTTTTATATAGCAATGCTAGATAAAGGAATGTCTCACTGTTTAGGAAGGATATCGTACAACTTGAAGCCAACTTAAATGACTAGTACCACTGACCAATGTATTGATATTTGCATGGCTATGTCTCTTAGTACAGCATATGTTTGATATGCAAACTACGCTCGAGGATAAACTCAAAATATTGCATTGTTTCATGTGTTCCTCTGGACATAAATAACAAGAAGGCATTCCCAGAAAGATGCTTCTCCTTGCTGTCTCTTATCTAACAAAAAAAATACAAAAGAAATATGTCTTATTTTTCTATGACTTAAAACTAATTTGTACCATTCTAGATATTTACTTATGCATACTTTTATGCTGAACGTTGTTCCTCTGTAATCTCCATTGTAATCTAAATTTACTACCATAATTTCAGCCAGAAGATTTCTGGTTTAGTGCACCAAAGAAGGGGATTATGGTTTTTGCATTGCCGGGGGAACCTGGCTTAGCCGAGGTAGCTGGTGATTTCAAGATCCAGTTTCATGATCGACAGGGAGATTTTTACTGGTGAGCTCCATGTAGTATTAAACTAATAATAATAATATTTCCTAGACATATCTGTGCTCTGTTACTTAATGATTTCATTTTATTTTTATTCCATTTTATGTAAGTTGCATGCACATATGTATATTATCTCGATTGGATGGCACCAACATTTCACATGGGAATCCGGAAAAGAATTATTGTCCTGATATTTAATTTCATTTCTTCCCCTATCCTTTTCAGTTGGCTAAATACAACAATGATGGAGAACAGGGTGACTTTGAATCCAACTGATCTTGATGATTTTGACAAGGTGAAGGCTTATTCATTGTTAATAATATTTATAACTATTTGTGAAGAGCGAATATGAAACTATTTAACAAGATGTGCCAATAAATCCTGAATTCTTTGTGTTCATACTTTGTTTTTATGATGTCGGATTCAAATGTTAGATACTAGTTTGTTCACACAACTTAGGTAGTTTTGAGAATGTTCTCCGTATCGTATAGTTGATGCCTTAGTTTTTATTTTTCCTGATTCACTTTGTATTTTCATATCAACTCTCTGCTCCAAGCATTACCATACTGAATACTATTGTGTAGCCTCGCCTTGTTTACTTCACTGCATATACTAATTTTGCCCATGCATAAACATTTTATGATCAGTAGGTGAAGGAAACAGACATTTTATCAACAGTTAGTTATTTATCTAAGGATTGCTTATTTCATTCTGTTATCACTTATCAGTGACAGCTGTTGCAATGTTGTGGCTCTTGTTTTGTTTACCATTTTTTTGGGGACTTGAAACTAAATACTTTATAATTTTATCCAGAGAAAATTGCCATCACCTGGATTCCAGGTTGAGGTTGTCCTGGTAGATTACGATGGCTCGCAACCACCAAAACCAAAACCAGCCGCTGGACCTGCTGGTACTAAATCTGATGCTGATTCCTCGGCTAGCACGGTTGCGAAAGAAAATAATGCTGCACCTGCAGAATCCAACAAGGGAACTGGAAGCAATGATAAAGATGAAGTTTTCTCCGACAGTGATGGGGAGGATGGATCATCCAAGGGAAGAAAGGAGAAGACTGCCGGCGGTGGTCAAAGTAGTGTAAATGCTGCTAAACCATCCCAAACAAGCAATGTGCAGGAGGCGGCATCAGCTGCTGCTAGTAGGCTGGATAAAGTAGCAATAACCAGCGAACAAGGAACCACAAAGGCACCTGATGGCGCATCTCTCAAAACTGAAGTCAGCAGCAAGGCCAGCTCCACCACAGCACCACCTACAGCTGCTGACTCTTCCAGCATGAGCGAATTCAAGGCGATTGCAGCAGACGCCTCAGTGTTCTCGTTCGGAGATGAGGATGATTATGAAAGTGAGTAGTGCTTGCTTCTATGGGTGATTGGTTTCCGTTGTACAGTTTGGTGCCTCTAGGACCCCCATCATAGAATGCCAGTTTGAAGCAGCTGGGAAGAGAACTCGAAAGAAGAAGTTAATTCATTCTTGCGTTTGGTCTCCACTGTAGCAGTGTCATCAGTCTCATGTTGTACCCAGATGAAACTTGTAACTCAACCAGGGCTGAACCTTGTTGATACTCTCCTATTTGTTTACAGAAATACCTTGTACACGAAATTAAACAGCGCAATTACTTTTATTAAGAGTTAGAGTGCGCGTCTTCAGGAAGATTCTGTACATGAACTTGTGCGGTGCAATTCATTTCAGCTTTGTTTGGATAGTTAGGAAGGATTGAAGGCAAGTCTCAGTTCAAACTTAACTTGAACTAGATGTCTGAAATTTCCAGATCAACACACTTCGGTCAAACCTTGTCTCAGGCTCACCTAGTAACAATTAAGGTTTGTGCACTCTCTATTCCTGAATCAGTTTCGGTGTCGTGTGAATGTGTGATTGCCCCGCTCTCTGATGTGTGTGTGCGCGCGCGCTTATAGGCCTTTTTTATGTACATAGCTGTCATATTTCCTCGATGCATCTTGGTTATGCCAGCTTCTGAGCCCCATTCCATGTATTCGAATCTGCCATGTTCCCAAACATGGATGGAGCAACGCGTGTAATGCGTAAGTGTTTTTTCTTTTGACGAGCCATCTCTATTTTTTCTTGTAAAAGTAGCAAAACCGCCAGACGTTTTGAACTCAATCCATGGCATCTTCTACCTTTTGGTCTCTAGACTTGTTAAGGTGGCACGTCCTGAATGAGCCTTTGAGAATTATGTGAGGGGTTTTGGCAGGTTGGATCAGCTCATGTTGTTCCTTTATTCTCTGCTTTTTTCTCATCTTCCATGGCAGGATTAAAGTTACTGCAAGAGAAAAACACTGTTCAGCCATGCTTATCAGCCATGATGGCCCTGTTCGGCTGGCAGAATTTTGGCTGAAACTGGCTAAAAAAACACTGTTCTGGCTGAATTGTTATGAGAGAAAAACACCGTTCCGGCTGAAAAAAGAAGCTTAACAAGCTGAATATAGGATAAGCCAAACGGGGCCGATACAGTGTTTTTCTCTCACAACAAAACAGCATCGGCTTATAAGCCATATAAACGATAGCGAACAGGGTGCACAACCGGTATTTAAAGAGTTGTACACAGGACTAATGCTTCACAATCCTCCCTCCTCGTCAACATCTTGCATGCTTCTTCACAACCGGTAAATTTTAGTTGTTGATTGACGCCATTTCGTTTGCACTGCAGTCTTGCTGCTACTTGTGCTTACCATGGCAGATTATCCAGGGGATGTTAGCTTGCATTGTCTTACTTTGTTGTCTATAAGATCATCTTGTTGCTTCGATGTCTGAGTCATCTTCTTGTTGCTTTGAGGTCGATTGGGCATGGTGAAGATCTGCTGCATCGGCGCCGGCTACGTCGGCGGCCCGTCCATGGCCGTGATGGCGCTCAAATGCCCGGCCATCGAGGTCGCCGTCGTGGACGGGTCCCGGCCACGCATCGACGCCTGGAACAGCGACCGCCTCCCGGTCCTGGAGCCGGGCCTGGACGCCGTCGTCAGGGCCTGCCGCGGCCGCAACCTCACCTTCAGCGCCGACGTGGACCGCCACGTGGCCGACGCCGACATCGTCTTCGTGTCCGTCAACACGCCCACCAAGGCGCGCGGTCTCGGTGCCGGCAGGGCGCCCGACCTCGCCTACTGGGAGAGCGCGGCGCGCGTGGTCGCCGCCGCCGCGTCCCGCTCCCGCCCTGGCACGGGCAAGATCGTCGTTGAGAAGTCCGCCGTCCCCGTCAGGACCGCTGAGGCCATGGAGAGGATCCTCCAGGCGCACGTCACCGGAAGCGGCGTCGGCGGAGGCTCGTTCCAGGTCCTCTCGAATCCGGAGTTCTTCTCCGAGGGCACGGCCGTGCGGGACCTGCTGTGCCCCGACCGCGTGGTCATCGGCGGCCGTGACACCGACGCGGGCGCCGTGCGCGCGCTGGCGGACGTGTACGCGCACTGGGTCCCCGAGGACCGGATCGTCACCACGGGGCTCCGGTCCGCGGAGCTCACCAAGCTCGCGGCGAGCGCGCTCCTCGCGCAGCGGGTGTCGTCGGTGAACGCGCTCTCGGCGCTGTGCGAGGCCACGGGGGCCGACATCTCGGACGTCGCGCGCGCCGTCGGCAGCGACGGCCGCGTCGGCTGCGGCATGTGGTTCCTGGACGCCGGCGTCGGGTTCGGCGGGCCGAGTCTCCGGCGGGACGTGCTGAGCCTGGCGTACGCCTGTGAGGGCCACGGCCTGCACGAGGCGGCGGAGTACTGGCGGCAGGTGGTGGCCGTGAACGAGTACCAGAAGGGCCGGTTCGTGCGCCGCGTGGTGGCGTCCATGCTCGGCACGGTGGCCGGCAAGAAGGTGGCCGTGCTGGGGCTCGTGTTCAAGAAGGGCGTGCGCGACACGAGGGAGTCGCCGGCGGTGGACGTGTGCCGGGGCCTGCTGGCCGACGGGGCCCGCGTCAGCGTGTACGACCCGGTGGTGGGCGAGACGCAGATACGGATGGACACGGCGGCGGTGGAGGTGGAGGTGGAGGTGGCGAGGGACGCGTACGAGGCCGCCGACGGCGCGCACGGCCTCTGCGTGCTGACGGAGTGGGACGAGTTCAGGACGCTGGACTACCACCGGGTATTCGACGGCATGATGAGGCCGGCGTTCGTCTTCGATGGCCGCAACGTTGTCGATGCCGGGGAGCTCAGGGAGATCGGCTTCGTCGTCTACGCCGTCGGCAAGCCGCAGGACGCCTGGCTCAACGGCATGCCGGCGGTGGCGTAGCTGATCAATCGATTTCTGATGTATATAGTACTCCTAATAAAATGTAACAGAGCATAAGACTTTTCTCCGGCACGTTGTGCTCTTTTTTATTTTTCATTCAGAGACAAATTTCTGATTAGCAAAAGCGGCACACATAGAAAGCACTTAATGTGAACACTGGGATCAGAGTACTGAACAAAAAACACTGAATGTGAACACTGGGGTCTCGTATAGACATTAGGAATACTGAACAATCCATTCACACAAGATTGAAGATAACATTGCAGAAAAGGCCCCAAGATGCAAAGTTGCAGTATTCATATTCCTATGATAGGTGGGTGCAAGTGCAACTTTGTGCATGCATGCATGTCCCTTATACATCCCAGGAAGAAAAGAATCAAGCTGAAGAGATATAAAATAAGTGTATCAGGTGCATAGTCACTCAGAGGTAGAGAACTTATAATTTGGAAAAGAGGAAGTCGAAGGCAACATAAGGGCTCGTCATTTAGCCAGAATCATTCCACGTGATCAAAGATAGTATAAATTAGCACAACATTTCAGGTTGGAATCGTTCCAGGCAGGCATCCATTCGCTGGGAACCGAACAAGGCATAAATGGAAATTAACCACAAACACCGAAGATTATGGAAAGCTGTATATGCATGGCTACATTACTATCACAAACTACAAATAGCATAAACACACACAGGATCTGGCAAGTTTATTAATTCTGAACTAGTAGTAGTATATATGCCATGCTTAATAGTAACTGCAATGTATATAAATCAGTAGAGCTCTTGATTGGAACAATAACCTTGTGTGACTAATATTTTATCCAATGCTGCCGATTGCCATTGCTGCTAGACAGTTGACACCACCACCCTATATATATATATATATATATATATATATATATATATATATATATATATATATATATATATATATATATTACAATCAATTCTTCTTGTCTCGATCTATCTGTCCAATCAGAGATTAATAATAAAAGCAACAAAATAAACTGATGCATGGATCCATCGAATTAAAGTAATTAATTAACTCTATCCATGCCTCATCGCCGGCGGCACCATGTCGTCAAGAAGCCCTTTGTCGACGGCCGCCGGAGCAGCAGCAGCACTGCTAACCGGCGGCGGCGGCAACGAAGTCGTCGTCGTCGTTGACACGGAAGCCACTGGAATCGACGACATCGCAGCTGAGGACGACAAGGGATAACTCGCCGCTGCCGCCACCGCTGCCGCCAGCAGCAGGTCCTGGTGGCTGCAGTGCAGCGGCGGCGGCCTTAGGTTGCTGTCGCTGTTGTTGAGAGCGCTCTGCTGAGGCGGCGCGGGTGTCGTCGGGAGGAGCAGCGGCGGCAGGTGGCCGTGGTCGGTGACGCCGCTGGTGGTGCCGCCGTAGAGGTGGTGGTGGTGGTTGTGCGCGGAGGCAGAGAATTGGAATGGCATGTGGTGGTGGCCGGCGGCGAGTGCGGCGGCGGCGTGGAGGTGGTGGGCACGCGGGAAGGCGACGGTGTGGTGGCAGTGCTGGCCCTCGTAGGTGGTGACGACGACGGATGGGTCGTCGGAGGAGCGCTCCACCCGCTTCTTCACCGTGCACTTGCTGTTGGTGCACCGGTAGTAGCTCCTGCCAGGTGGAATGATGCATCATCCATCACATGCATCCATAACTTGATCATTTTAGAGTTCAATTTTCAGAGCTTCAGATGCAGATGCATGTATCGATCATCAGCTGTCCCTTTTAACTGATGTTATGTTTGCCAGCATTCCAATCAGATCAGTTGAAAATTTATTTTATTCATTTAAAAGTACCGAAATGTTTATAAAACCAAGTAAAGTATGCATTAAGTAGGAGCTGTACTTTTTATTATATCATACCTAATTGCAATCCGTGTAATATTGAATACCCGTAACAGTATTTGAATGAGTTTAGTGTGATTCATTCATTCATTCATTCATACATACAAGGTACAAAGTGAATGCTGGAATTTGTACGTATATGCATGCATTGCCATATGCTGAACGGATCAAATAAATATTGAACTATAATTTTTACTTATATATATAGAAAGATAAATAAAGTATATGATGCATGCACTCTCGGTATACTAGCTATATTTATATAATCTATTTTCAGGGACAGTTGTCCTAAAGCGACCATCGCTGAAAAACGTATGTTTGGGGCGTGGAGGTGGTGCAGTGTTGGTTTAGAAACTGGCCTTGAAAATCGTTTTTGACTGTGATAAAAATTCATTTCTGCTCTAGGTGGTCAAACAATGATAAAATTATATATTACCTAAACAACAGCAAAAAAGAATCGAAATGGGGCATATACACATGGACAATGCATATATACCTTGGGAAGGGGCTATTCTTGACGGCCTTCTGTCCGTACTTCCTCCATCGGTATCCGTCCTCCAAGTGGTCCACGTCGCTCTTGGTCATGAAAGCGAACCGTGGCTGCCGCGCCCGCTTCTGTCCCGCCGACGATGACTTCGTCTTCCCCGGCGCCGGTGGCTTGCTCCTGCAAACATTCATATATATGATGACTAATAAGTATCTTTATTATTTGTGACGTGAACGAAGGTACAGGTACGGTGAAGACGTTATGTGCTGCGTGCTGAGGCTGGTATATATGTACATGCATGTACCGAAGCCTCATATATTTATGATAGTTATTCAGTTACTATAATGTTATAGTAAACCATTTATAGTTAATATCATAAATTTTAGTTTATTGTAACTCAAAAAAGCTACGCGCGCTACGTAGCGCGCGCGCGCTCTCTCTCTCTCTCTATATATATATATATATATATATATATATCGTACGTGGCCGGTGACCTGCTTGCATGCATGTGATGAGATGAAGGTACGTACGTGTCAACACCGAACGATCTTACCTGCTGGCTAGCTAGCTGCATCATGCTATAGCATTATATATTTATATATGAATATATGAATCGTCCATCGTGCATAGCTGTGGTTGCATTCTTCTGTCGATAGATTGGAGGAGGCCGGACATGACTTGACAATCAGTGTCTCATCTGATGTGTACATGTTTATTATTGTTATTATTACGACGTGACAAGTACTCTCTCCATTTTAAATTATGAATAGTTTTAATTTTAGTTACATGATTTTTTTTTTTTTGAGAATGTATGTACATAGTTTTTTTCTATACATATGTATAGTAAAAGTTAAGTCCCGAGAAAATTCAAACTGATTTATAATTTTGGAATAGAGAGGTAAGAGTACATATATCACAAGTAATAATGGGGAAAAAATCACAGGCATGGACTATTATAATTTTTGTAGTGAAGATGAATGAAAAAGATAAAAAAAGCAAAAGAAATAAATCCGAAGGTAAGGTGATAATGTGAACAAGGAGAAACCGCGTGGCTCTTGTGTTATTTTATTATTATTATTATTATTGGACTAGCTATAGGATTTACTGTAGGATAGTCAAAGGAGTGTAGTGGCTATATAGATTTGCCGTGGCGCACGAGAATCGCGCCGCAACGTCCGCTTCGCTTCCCTTCAATTCCGTTCCGTTCACTTTAAATTATACTTATAAGCCGTTTCAGTATTTTTTAAGATACCTAGATTTTATTATATATCTAAGCATAACACGTATCTAAATATGTAATAAAAACTATGTAACGACGTATAATTTAGAACGGAGGAGAGAAAGCAGTAATAATAATTAATACTGTAAGAAGAAGCAAAGCAAAGGTTGAAACGAATCCAACAAACACACACTTGTGTGTGTGTGTGTTTTTTTAAAAAGAAAGATGAAGAGAAGGGAAAAAAAGAAAGAAAGAGGTGAAATGTGGAAGTTGATGGCTTCAGCTCAAGCGAAACTAAATCCTGAATAAAAAGTAAGTGAGTGAGAGAGAGAGAGAGAGAGAGAGAGAGAGAGAGATTAGATCAGGTGGAATGCGCAATCAGGAGTTAGGAATTAGTACTCCTAGGCTAGTGACAGTTACGGGTTTAATTTGGGATCGGAGATAGATGGACATGGACATGAAAGAAGAAGCTAGGGAAGGAGCTGCTAGTGCTAGCTAGTGTGAATTGGACTGGTTGAGCATAGGCGGCACAGTCACTTACGCTGCCTCGGTGGCTGCAGCGGCGGCCGGCGCCCCGTCGTCGTCCTCCTCCTCCTGCGCCGCGGCGGCGCCATCGTCGGTGGAGCTGGCCGACGACGCGCCGCCATCCACCGACACGGCGGACCCGGCAGGCGTCAGTACCGTCGTCGTCGCCAGTACCGCCGCCTGCTCCTCCGACAAGCAGCAGGGCGGCGGCGGCGGCGGCGGCGGTGTGCCCCCATGATCCTCCGGCGGATCCAGCGGCGGCAGCATCATCGACATCATCAGCTCCTCCGTCGTCGTCCCGCCGGCGGCGGCCCAGCACCCGGTGAGCTCCGCGAACACCGCCGAGGAGTCGGCGTAGTACGCGTCGTCGGCCGTGAAGGGCCACTCGCCGCCCCCCACGACGCCCGCTGCTTCACCGCCGCCGGCACCGGCCATGATTGGGTCCAAGGCCGACACTCTGCACGTCTGCACGTCGCCGACTCGCTAGCTAGCTTGGGCTTCTTGGCTCCGAACCCGCTAGATCAGCTGCGTGCGTGTGCTGTATGGTTGCTCCTCGATCTCAGGCTCAGCATGCAGCGGCAGCTAGCGAGCGAGCTTTTCTTCTCTTCTTGGGGGTTTCTCTCGGTCTGCTCTGGGGTCAGTGCCTTTTTTTCATTCAGATGTGGATGGTGGTGGTGGTTTGCTCGCGAGGGGGTTGTCTCTCCATTTATTTCACTCAGTCACTCACTCTGATTAAGAATATCATTACTCCCAGTGCAGTGAGGGTAAGGAGGGAAGGATGGAGTACAAGTACGTACTAGCATCAAATTGATTATTCACTTCATTGCTTATTAATTTATTTATTGTTGTGTACCACTTCGATCAATTCCATTAGCTACCTAGCTAGCTACTCCTATCCTATCCTAGCTATCTCACTCCATTCTACTCATTGTCGATAGTTTAACTCAACTACTCCTGTCTATACGCTCTCGGTCTCTATACAATGCCTTTGTTTAGATTAAAGTTTTTTCACTCTCTTTTATCATATTAAATCTTTAGACATATATATGGAGTATTAAATGTAGATAAAAAAAAACTAATTACACAGTTTGATTGTAAATTACGAGACGAATCTTTTGAGCCTAGTTAGATTATGATTGAACAATAATTATCAAATACAAATGAAAGTGATACAGTGCCAAATACTAATTCCTAACCCTAATCTAAACAAGGCATAAATAGATTTCTAGCTTAAAGAATTCGTCTACAATAAATTAATTAATTTCTAGAAGGCTAAACATTTCACCGGCTCATTTTTTTTTCAAGTCTCCTCGCATTTACTTCACCCTCTCCCCCTTCAAACCCCCCTCTCATCTTCCAATCCAATTTGAGTTTCTGTAGTTGGATGTATGTTGTAAATGATATAATCAGTGTGCTACTGTAACAATCACTGATTTGTGTGCAACTACTTTAGTTAACGAAGAGTAGTATGACCTTTTCACCTGTCGTGCTAATCTATCGTAAGCTTACAAGAAAAATCTATTTATTCAGGGACAGAGAGGAAGTACTACTAGGCTAGAGTACATACAGTACTCCCTCTGTCTTCTTTCGTTAGTATTTAGGCCTTGTTTAGTTCCCAAAAATTTTTATCCCTAAGTGTCACATCGAATCTTACGGCACATGCATGGAGTACTAAATGTAGACGAAAAAAAACTAATTGCACAGTTGGGTGAGAAATCGCTAGACGAAACTTTCGAACCTAATTAATCCATAATTAGACACTAATTGCCAAATACAAACAAAAGTGCTACAGTACCAAAAACCAAAAATTTTGCCAACTAAACGCGCCCTTAACCAAGACACCAAGATACCATCATGATGGATTAATTGTTCACCCAATACCGTGTTTCCTTGGCAATTGTTGCGCACGTTTGATTGGTGGTGGCCTAGGCTCACCACACCAAAAGCTAGAGCCAAGTATTTGGCTATAATCCAATTTATAATAGCCAAGCTATACAATGGTGGTATATTATTTGTCTATAAGAAACCTTTTTATTGCTATTTTTATCCATGCCTCACTTTCTCTTTCTTAATCCTTCTCACATCCATTTAATGGGCCTGTTCGCTGGTTGGTGCTGGTGCTGGTTTGGGCTGGCTGGTGCTGGTTTTTGTGAGAGGAAAACACTGTTGGCTGGCTGAAACCAACAAGCGAACGTGCTGAATGTATGGACCCATCACTGCATATGCTTTCGTGCACAGCTCGTTGCTTGCATCAGAGCCCAGCTCTCCCCTCTTTTCTTCTCCACATCAACATTTGCTTGGCTATAAATCAGTATTTTTCTATCATATCAGTCAGGGATGTGCTACATTTTTTTCATTTCTTGTGTGTCTACTGTAGAAAACAACAATATTCTTGTTTTACAATATTATTTTTCAATATTAATGCCTATTTTAATGATCTGAAAATAAGTTATGAATCAATAAACAATTATTACTGATCAAGTATTCTTTGCAGGCATTTAATGAAGCTATCTTTGCAGTATTAATGCCTATTTTTGTTAGTGACAAAAGATTTTGTTGTGCGAGCAATTCATATGAGTTGTGTGCTGTACAAGCCAACATCTTAGTTTTGTAGGTACTTGAGTGTAGCTTGGTTATTACCTTAGTATTTCTTGTAAAAAATTGTATAAGTACAAAGGTATGGTTTCAATGAAAATGATGAGCAATGTTTTGTCAATTGTGAGCTTTGTTCCAGTTTGTGTTTCATGAGTGTGTCTTAATGTGTGACATGGTTAATGTTGATTATATGGTTAATGCTGTGATGATTTGGCACTAATTTGTGATGTTTTTTTGTCACTATTGTTTGGATCTAGGCTTGGATATGGGCTGGTTATAGGATACAGACAACTAATTCATGACGAACACAAATGTCAATCTATGACGGCTCAATTTGGTCTAGCAAATGTATGACGCGGGATACATGACGGTTTTTTTTCGATCGTCATGGTAAGTTAACCGTGACGCATTTTTGCTTATCTGTGACTAAAATAAACCATCATGTATAAAGGTTTTTTTTGTAGTGTAAACTACAAATCATCTTATGTACTAAAAATGTGTTTTTATTTTCTATTTTTAGATTATAATGCAAGTTACTAGTATATGCATAAATCAACTATACTCGAGTTGAGCATAGCTCGGCTTGTTGGGTTTTCTATCGTGGAATTTGTCTCCCCAACTTCAAGTCTTTTGACTTGTCAGTGCTCGTATTTTTCTAAATTTATTCTAGAATTGAACAGTGTTGTTCTTTCATTAGTGGCAAGTGACGTGCTTGCCGACATTGAGGCTCTTATCATGACTTCGTCGGTATCAAGATCTGTCGACTCAGTTTTTTTAGGTGGTCAGAGGTGTAGGACGGTTTTTGCATGTTCATAAGGATGAGCCTCTGGGTCTGTACTGTGATAAAAAAAACTATACTTTTGACATCACCATGATGTTAGGTTGCACAATATATTACTTATTAAATGCTATAATATAAGGTTGTGAAATGCCCCCCTTATGAATATGTACGGAATTGAAAGAACTTGATGTAAAAAATAAGCTAGGGTGGTATAAGTAGATTCTTTTCATGTGTTCAGCTTCAAATTTATCGACTTCTAAGCTAATAAATTGACAATTCAACTCTCTTTATAGAGTTATAGACAAAAAAGAATGCTCATATACAATTCACTAACTTTTCACACATCTCTTTTATTTTGTCAATCTCCATCATCTATCTATCGATGACATGAACTGAAAAGGATAGGACATAAGGTTGCATTTGGCCACCACGAATAGATTGCATGCTAACAACCACTACATACGGACGATACAATGATATATAGGTATCAGTACAAAAAGGAATCAAATCAAGGGAAACTTATAATATGTACAAACAAATAATCAAGAAATTGGTTCGTCGTAAGCTTTCTAATAAAATCAGGCTGAGTCTTTGATCTAAAAATAATCAAGAATTTTTTGATACAAATAAATGGTATACTCCATCCCTAGCTAGTCATATAAAAAATGATGTTAGAACAGGATATTATATTAGTGCAAATGGTGCAGTGCATGCATCTGCATGCATAGGAAGCCAGATGATAGACTGTTAGGTAAGAGTTAGGCCCAACGGATCCCGTTGAGTTCACTCACCTGTCCATTCTTCTCTAGTGGTATCTTGTTTTTTTTTTAATCGCACTGTCACTGCAGAACAGCAAAAGGGAAACTTTTTTCTTTTGTGTGCCGACTCTTGCTACTTGCCTTGCCGGCCGGATCCGGCGGATGGACGATCGATGGGTCGTGTCTTTGGCGTGTCCGGGGTGATATCCCTACTATACTAGTTCGTCGAAGTAGTACTACACTAGCTTTGGTTTTATATGTATGAGGCTATGAGCTTCGGTCTGGGTAAAGCTGTACATGCCCTGATGCCCAGGGCTCGTTTAGATTGCAAAGTTTTTTCACTCTCTCTTCATCACATCAAATCTTTGACACATGAATAGAATATTAAATGTAAATAAAAAAATAACTAATTACACAGTTTGATTGTAAATTACGAGACGAATTTTTTGAGCCTAGTTAGACCATGATTGGACAATAATTATCAAATACAAACGAAAGTGCTATAATGCCAAATACTGATTCCTAACCCTAATCTAAACAAGACCCCATTCACCCGGGTCAACTCAAATCATTGTGACAACATATCTATTACAAATCTACAGTAATTCATCAACATCATCTCGATCTATATATCCATGCCATGGGTATATACCCATATGATCCCTTCTCCCCTGTGTATATAGGCCCCTGTTTTTTTTATAATTAACCTCCTTAATTAGTTACAAAACATAATATTTGGAGGAAATATTTAATTTTGAGGGGAATTTTCAAAATTCAATCACAAGAGTTAATTAGCTAATGTTAGAGTTTGTTAGAGTTGTTGAACAATTAATATTTTGAGGCAAAGATCGACAAAGGACGATTTTTGTGTGCGTATGACATTTGTTGTCACATGTACTCCATTCGTCCTGAAATATATATATAGTGCATTGTGACTTCTAAATTTGTAATGAAATATAGTGCATTTTATGTAATGACTATATCTAGATTTGGCAAAAGTTGTGAAAATGGAAACCATAAATTGAGGAGAAACTCCTTAATTAGAAATGAAAGGATCAAGATGTCCAGAGAGGGGGTGAATTGGGCTAATTCTAAATTTTTGTAATAATTAAGTCTTACACTTAGCCCATTTCACCCCTTGTGCCTAGAATGTGTTTCTATTGATTTTCCGCACAAAAGTTTTGCACCCTAGTTTCCAATACTACTCTAGCATGGCAATTCTAGGAATGTAAAGACATGAAATGAATTGCTCAAATATAAATATTTAAAGTAAAAGAGAGGAAAAAGAACACGGCGATGTT